CAGACGCAAAGCGGACGCATGGCGCCCGCACAGTGGACGCACCCGCAGGCGCCCGCAGACGCAGAGTGGACGCACGACGGACGCACGGCGCCCGCAAGACGGACGCACCCGCGGGCGCCCGTGGACGCACAGTGGACGCAAGGTTTTTGATAAGTTATTTCTTGGCAGTACTGTACGATCGCGAGGTCAAAGACTTAGTATTTTTTTATAAGGCTGTGAACGGATATATTGACATTGATGTCTCAAATTTTGTTAACTTTGTCAATCATGGACGGACACGTAGAGCATTGAGATCCAAATACTTAGAAACTCCGTTGTGTAAAACTTGTACGTACAGTTCGTCGTATTTTAATCGTGTTGTCAAATTATGGAACAGTGTTTGTGTCTCGATTGATCCTTCCAGTTTTACATCGCCATCGTCTTTCAAACTATACCTCAAGATGAGGTATAAGAATATTCTGGAAACAGTATTTGATCCGGACATGACTTGCACCTGGTCACTTAAACGTGATTGTGGTTGTCACAAATAATAAACTAACTTAACTAACCAAATTAATGTGCATGCATAATATTAATATTTATTAAGTAAATATGTTATACAGGGTGCCCCAAAGGGGACCAAAGCTGTTGAGATGGCGTGGTGTTGCTTGGGAATTGGATTGCCTTAGCACTCTGCTGAACCCATAAGTGCATAAAAGCTTGAGAAAAGTAAATTTTACGAATAAAGAAACTGTTTAAGAAGTTGCTTTAAATTCCAAAGAGCACATAATCGTGAGCTTACAAAGATATTTTAATTTCTTCAATACTCATATTATATGCATCATGTCGATCATATTTACGTGCCTTTGCGTTCAGTTGGTGCTGAGGCGTTCGGATTCTGGCAGTGCGTTGTTTCAGTGGTTTTGGTTTTTTTGGGACACCCTGTATACAGTATACTGCGAATTAAAAAGTTTATGTTAGGAAGAGGAGGGGCATCATGCAATGGACTTTACGTCCAGTTTGTGCCTTGTCCGTTTGAGTACAGCTCTTTAATTGTATGTTAGATGAATATTTGTTGAATTAATTTGTACTCAATAAAGTTTAACAAACAAAACAAACACATCGTGCTAACAGCATCATTTCAGAACAGTTTCTTTGTCCGCACAAGTAGAATATGCATGGAACAGTCTAACACCTGTCTCAACGTGCTGCTACGTTTAAATGTTGTTTCACTAGAAAATATAACGGGTTACTTAGAGATGTGTACGACCCGGACAATGCTGTAACTTTTAAGTGGAACTGCGTGAAATGTCATGTAAATAGAAATCTAGCACACATTCTTCAAAACCAATGTTGTTTTCAACTTAAATGTAACCAGTCTGTCAGTAACTTAAACGTGTGTTTATCGTTTTTCTGATGAAATTTCCATACTTAGGCACTGACCATACTTTAAATGGTCTCGAGTACCAGGGACACCCTATACCCCCCCCCCCTCCCAAGACAACTTTACTGTGCGTTTATATGATAAAATAGGATGAAATTCAAAAAGGCATATTAATTAACGCGGGAATACTCCGTTTTTTGTTCGAAGGACTGGATATGAGTAACTAAATTAAAGATGGCGGACGAAGAGGAATAGAGGACGAATCAGTTGATGAATGTATGAGTGCTTTTTTCAACTCGAAAGCTTCTGGCTACTTTGATCACTGCGCACGATGATTTATTTGTAATCATTGTAACTTAATTTCCTTTTCTGTGTAGTATCTGTGTATCTGTCGTATTAATATGTATGTATGTATAATTGTGCAAATTTTGAATAAATTCTAAAAGTCGATTGTGTCAAATATTATGATTGTGTTTCCATGTTAAGTGAGATAGTTAACTGTTTAATCGTGCAGCGACAAATACAACAAAATATAATGATTGGTCAAGCTGGTATGAAAGGAAATTGTTTTATATTAAAGGCAAAACGAAAGTGGACTTTACGAAGAAGGGTTCGGTCATGCTGGAAGAAACCTGGACGAACTGAAGTAACTGAACAGTGCAGGTGGACCATCTATGGCAAGGTCGTCTTCTTGAAGAAGAGTGGAATGTAAATCTTCGTATGTGCATGGATGACTTCATGAAACTAGTTGCAGAGCTGCAACCATATATTGAGCCAGATCATACATCGCCAAACTGGAGTGCACTTTCATGTGAAAAATAGTGGCTATCACCCTATATTATTTAAAGGATACTGGTTCACTTCGCATGACCGAAAATTAGTTTGGTGTTGCTACATGTACTGTTTCCAAGACTATCTATGAAGTTTGTCATCTATTTCTACAAAGCTTGGCCCAAGCTACATAAAATTGCCAGAAACTGTGGAAGAAATGAGAGAGCCATTGTGCAGTTTGAGTTGAGGCATGGCTTTCCTCAGGCATTCGGTTACATTGACGGCACAAATGTCCTCAATTTGTGACTACCAAGATTTATTTATTGATGTCGATTGCGAATGGCCAGGCAGTGTTCACGATGCAAAGGTCTTCACTAATTCCGTCTCCATAATTTTTGCTCCCTGAATGGTATCCTGGTGGATGATGACAGTGTTTAAAGACACATAACGCATGATCGCCAAATGCAACCAGTTGAGACTCCAGACCTTATTTATTCGTGCAACTCTGCAGAAGGAATTTCTACTCGAAATACCATAATGTTGTTTTCTTGAAGGAGCACATTGAACATTAATTAATCATATAGTTTGTCAGTGGTTGACCAGTTACAGTATTTGTTATGTTACCTGCATGCTTCACCAAATATACAGTATTTTGTTTATTGTCAGAAATTATATCATGTAGCAAATTCACAGCGCTTAATAACATTTAATATGAAAGGCAAATCCATTAATTGTTAAGAGCGGTTGTCTGTAATAGTCAGGTAAGACGTGTAAAATGAGAAAATTCAAAATCTTTCAAACTTCGTCAGAATGTAGGCCTATATGAAGTATTAATGTTGTGAAAGTTTTATTTCGATCGGATAAATATTGAAGGAGAGAGACGTCGAAATTGGTTTTCCCAGGCCACTTTCGGTTTTTAGAGGTCATTTTACGGTACTACCAAAATCGCTCTATTTTGCACGATAGTGGGAATATTTCACAAAATATGGTTTCGTTTTATAAATTAGAGTTATTTATTGAGTAGCAGACGAAATTTAGAGACATTTCTTTTAAAAGTGAATATTTTACAGATTTTCTTAATGTTTTTTATTTTTGAACCTCTTTATTATATGCCATATTAGGCAGCGAAGATCTCCATTGTTACATCAATTCAGACAAAAAATTCATAACCAGGTCAAAGAAATATGTTTTCGCTTGCTATTGATCAAATAAAATTTGGAGCAACTTAGAATTGAATTTTTGACGAATTTTTTCGCCTAACCCCTATTTGACCCGAATAACCGTATGTTATGTAATCAACGTCGAGTCATGTAGTTCAATAACTGATAACCAAAGAGCTCGTCAAAAGCGTTTATTTCTTCAAGTAAACAAGCCTAGGCCTATAAAACTACCTTACCTAAAGCTGTCCGTTTGACAGAAAGCATTTAGGTCTAAATCACACTGTTTACAGTCGCTTATTGTTCAGGTAATGCCTATAATATATTGTATAGCCGGCGCCGCTGATTTGGTTTTAATTATATTGTATCAGGGATATGCCGCGATAAGTATCAAGTATATTTTCTCTCCGCTTCCCATAAACATGTGTTCTTTCACGACTCGTCGTACTTATAACTTTTCGAACATAAATAGTGCACGCCATTTTTGTCAAAAACATCGGTCAGTTTACGTTGAAATTGTAATTCGTTTATTTAATTAATTAATTTAATTAATATTAAAGCTGGATTCTTTCACCGTGATGTCATGCCAAAAGGTGTCTTTTCTATTTTTAAAAAAGACCTCTGTTGATTTATGATTTGGTGATATTTATTACAGTTGTTATTGCTCAATAACTTTGAATTTGTTCTGAGAAAACATTCAAACTTCAGACCAAACTTTTACGCAGTTTCTTATTTAGTAGTTTAACTGCATGGCCATCACTTTTAAAACAGCAAGAAGATAAAGACAACGTGTACGTGTGAGTTATCCATGAAATAAATAGTTGGTTTACAAAATGAATTCCGTCTTCGTACGTGGATAAAATTAAGTACTATTTAAAAAACGAGCAGGAGTGTTTTAATTTGTTAGGTCTAAAGCCACGAGCGCGCAGCGCGAGTGGCTTTAGACTTAATAAAACACGACCTGCGAGTTTTTTAAATGGCTTCAAAAACGTTTGCATAATAAGTCAAATCTTTATATAAAAATCTTTATATAAAAATCTTTATATAAAAATCTTTATATAGTTTGCATAACAATGGTCTTTTGTTAAAGTGTTCTTTAGCTGGTATAAAGACGTATCCACGTGACTAATTTCTTACTCAAGATTGGATAATTGCTTCATGAATTATTAATGAGTTTTTGAAGATAAATTCAAACACGATGGTTAATACAAACTAAGTAAGAAATTAGGCACATGCAACCATATATATATATATATATATATATATATATATATATATATATATATATATATATATATATATATATATATATATATATATATATATATATATAATCGTGCTTTACGAATAATTTTATGGCTGAATACACAAGGGCGCTTATATATGGTAAGGATATTTTGGTTGTGGGAGACTTAAACTGCAATTTGTTAAAAACAACCCAAGAAGCGGAGGCATTGAGAGATATATGCTGTGGTTTAAATCTCGTGCAATTAATCGATAAACCTACGCGGGTAACATTGCAATCATCCAGCCTGATAGATGTGATCATGACATCCAGTGAAAGTCTGATTGTGAAAAGTGGAATAGTAGAAGTTAACATTAGTGATCATTTCTTGGTTAGTTGTGAACTTAATTTAAAAAAGCCAAAACTATAAGCAACATATATCAATGCACGAAGTTTTAAAGATTACAATCGAAATCAATTTGTCATGAATTTGGCACAAATTCCGTGGCATGAAAATTTTTCAATTGACGATGTGAATGAAAAACTCTCCTCATTTAATGGTCACTTTTTGAGTATCTTGGAAAAACATGCACCGGTTAAGAGCATGAAAATAAGATATCGCCGGTGGCCATTTATGAGTAGAGAGATTAAAGAACTTATGAAAAATAGAGATAAATTACATAAGCTTGCACGACGAACCAAGATGACAACAGATTGGGAAAATTACCGTGTTTGTAGACGGGCTGTAAAAAAAGCGTTACGTGAACCTGCAAGGAAGTATGTACAGAATGAAATTCATAAAAACTTAAAAAGAAGTTCTATGTGGAAAGTTATAAGGAACTGCCTACCCCGTAAAGAGTCAACGGAACTTAAGCATTCAAGAAATATCACGGAACTAGTGGAGGAGTTCAATTCTTTTTTCACGCCAGTGGGAATTAAAGCATCAGAGTCTGCTACTGCACTTTTAACTAAATATAATCTACCAACCATAGACTTACCAGTACCTGCTCGTCCGGTTTCATGTAGTGATGTACAGCAGATCATCATGTCCTTTTCCTCAAATAAGGCACCGGGATTAGATAAAGTTCCAATGAGTATTATCAAAGATGCCTCACCATATATCCTCCCTGAGTTAACAGATATTATTAATTGTTCATTACTTACGTCCAAATATCCAACATTATGGAAGATGGCAGAAGTTGTTCCCCTCTTAAAAGATGGGGATCATGAGATCGCAGACAATAATCGTCCTGTGTCTTTGCTAATTGCAGTATCAAAGATTTGTGAACGAGTCGTATTGAATCAATTGACTGACTATATGTCGCAAAGGAAAAGATATACTGAACACCAAAGTGGCAATCGAAAATTACATTCTACAGAAACATTAAATGTTTTTATAACAGATCAAATCTTGCAGTCTATGGATCGTAAAGAAGTTGCGGCCTTGGTTTTAATAGACTTATCCAAAGCATTTGATAGCATAGATCATTCAATTCTACTAGTGAAACTTCAAACCATTGGTGTGTCTAAATCAGTGTTGGCATGGTTTAAAAGTTATCTATCGGGACGAAGCCAAATAGTACGTATTGGGTCGACATTGTCGGAAACATGTATTATAACTCGAGGGGTACCTCAAGGATCTATTCTTGGGCCGGCATTATTTAACATATATATTAATGACCTGCCCAATGTTCCAAAAGAGTCCTTTTTGGAATCTTATGTGGATGATTCGAAAATCTATCTGGCATTTCCAATTCAGGATATTGAAACTGCTGCGTTTAAACTTACACAAGATATGGAACGAATTACCGCATGGTGCTGTATAAATAGTCTGCTAGTGAATCCAAAGAAAACGAAACTTCTTTTACTGGGTACAAGTCAAATGCTGAAAAAACACTCTGGCACAGATTTCCATATAACTGTTCTTGGTGAGAAAATAATCCCACTTCAGACGGTTAAAGATTTGGGAATGACTTTGGATTTAAGTTTGACTTACGACAAACATATTGTCGATACCAAGTCAAAATGTATCACAGAATTATGCCGAATCAATAGAGTTAAGCATATTTTCGACAAACACACTTTATCCTTTATTATAAATGCATTGGTCTTCAGTAAAATGTATTATTGCTCCTCCGTTTGGTCGAACACCTCGAAAAAGAACATATCAAAACTCCAAAGCGTGCAAAAGATCGCGGCACGCGTTATTACCGGAGTTAGAAAATATGACCATGTGACACCTATCCTTCAGCAGTTAGCTTGGCTTCCAGATGAGTGTATGTTAAAACTCAGGGATGCGGTTATGACATTAAAATGCATGAAAGGGTTAGCTCCGCCATACTTGTGTGACAAATTCGAAATGAGATCAAAGACTCACAGTGTTAACACCAGAAATAAGGATAAGTTAGACATTCCACTGTATAATTCGGCTTCTGCAGAAGGACATGGACGTTCGCTACGTTTCATTAATGCGCAGTGTCTATTTGGAATGAGCTCCCAAATCATATTAAAGACATTACTTTGGACCGGTTTAAATTAGAATATAAATGTCATTTATTGCATGGATTTTTAGAAAGTAGTTCATAGTTTTAGACAATTTGGGCTTGTTTAAATTAGCATATAAACGTTTTTAATGTATGGATTTTATTAGGATAGTTAACATTTTTAAAGTGACATCACTAATAATTATCAAATTTTAATTTGTGTTGTATGTATGTATGTATGTTTGTGGGTGTATATATATTGTTTGTAGCATATAAATGATTTGTAATTACCTGCTGAAAAGCCCTTTTGGGAGCAGGCAATATTGTAATAATAATAATAATAATAATAATAATAATAATAATATATAATGATTTATAAAGAGAAGCAGATAATTAATATCAGTTTATAATTTGCATATTACAAACACGCAGCGCTTTTATGTAACACGTCGTATGTCAGGCATGCGGCCGTTTATCCACAAAATTTATTCCATTTGTATTTGTCTTTTATACAGTGTCACTATTTAAATGCATGTGTATATAGTCAAGACATCCCATTTGGCCAAATGATAGATTCACAACGTCTATTATCACTGTCGCTTGTGCTTGTAAAACCCTCCATTATTTGAATCTCTTCGTCGCTTTTATCAGCCATAACTGCCAAGACGTATTTAGAAAATAGTCGCAAAACGGGATTGCTAAAGATTAGCAAACGATGTGCCATATTTTTGAAGAAATTTGATCCAACAGAGTAATCAACATGTTATTCAGCAGGCCTTACAACTACGCAAGCTTTCGTCTCAAATTTCAACCTGCGAACGGTCATACTCATTACGGGCTGTATATATGGCCTGCGGAGAAGGTAGCACCCTAATAGAAATTTATTGTTACCTCCCAGATTCTGGGAAACACGTGACCAGACAATACCAGGGTATTTTCTCAGCAGGTGGCCGTGCACCGAGTATAAGAGAAAATAGCCTGGGTACGAGGTTGCCTGCATGGGGCAGGGTAGGTCAAAATTTCAGTGCAGTTAATTCAAAACAGAAGTGCGCAATTTGTAATCACTGCAATTTTTTGTAATCACATTGTAATTTTCTATAATCACAGTGCAATTTTTGTAGTCACAGTGCAAAAATCACTATGAACCAATCAAATTTCATTGTTTCGAACATTTTAATGAATATTGTTAATAAGTAATAGCATGATCCCTTGTGCAATTTGAATATAACATGCACTTGTAGTTTTTCAAAGACCTCATACTATTACCTATACAAATTGGGTAACATATTATCTGATTGAACTCGTCATCAATTTTAATAATGCTACTATTGTTCCCAGTAAACTGCGAAATGACCGTTTTTTAGGCGGTTTGTCAGTGGTAGTTTTGTCAATTACGATCGAAGGACATATTTGTGTACCTCGTGATCACAATTCGTTGCAAGCGGCGTGTGAAAAACTGCAAGTTTCAGTTTGACAGTTCTGACAGTTAAATGGTTTCTAATTTTATTGTCCAATCAGGTGCGTAGTTTTGATTTAAAATTCAAAACTACGCACCTGATTGGACAATAAAATTAGAAACTCATTAACTGTCAAACTGAAACTTGCAGTTTTTCACACGCCGCTTGCAACGGATTGTGATCACGAGGTACACAAATATGTCCTTCGTAATTGACAAAACTGTCAATGACAAACCGTCTAAAAAACGGTCGTTTCGCAGTTTACTGGGAACAATAGTATATTTTTTATTTTTATTCTTCACTGTTTTAATAAAAACAACACAAGAAGAATGACTGCAAAGAATGAGCCATTACACTAGTACCAAGTATCCCCATTTAACTAGTAAGATGTCAACAAAATGTTCATGTAAAATGTGAAATAACAAACATGGCATTATAGACCTTTATAGAAGGAGTTCAAATATTAAGACAGCTAAAAATGTCCTTAACAATATTTGACAAAAATGTACAGTAATCAGTATTGTCAGATTTTGATTAGCTCAATGTCAATAGAGAAAAATCCCATTAATTTAATTCAAATAAGGGATTTTCTTGGTCATCTGGATTTGGATAGGAAACAGGTTGATTATGTCCACTACCAAAAGATATTGGCTGATTGAAATAATAAGGCATAAATCCTGGGTGATGCTGGGCAGGTTGTCGTGGTCGGTTAAAAGCATTTGCAAGTAGCACCATAGCTTGAGTCATACCTTGGAACATTTCTTTAAGTGTGGCCGAGACATATTTTCCATTACATGAGCCGTAGTTGTTGACGAACCCATTCAAGCATGTCTTTTCGCATGGCTGTATCTTCTTTAGCAGCTTCAATAAGTTTCTGATCTCTCTGAGCTGCTGATAATCTTTTTTCTAGACTTTTCCTCTTGTTGTCAATGAGATTTGGCACATTTGACACTACTTCCAATTCTCAAACTTTCTCGGTTAACTTGTGCTGTGAGTAGAAACTTCAGAAAAACTACTTTTAATTGAATTGTTATCATCCATATCAGATTCACTGTCTTCTGCTTCTTTCCCAACAGATATCGGAGTCAATGAGCGGATTCTTTCAATATCTGTATAAAAATTATACAATGAAAGTGTCACTGATACTAATGTAAAATTGATAATTTGATATCAATATGCTTGAAGCTACAATTTTTTTACTCTGCCTAAGTTAGTAGTGCAAGACAATGGGACATTCAACATACCCACACCATGTTATCGAGGGATCACTTCACTATCCCCTTAGGATAAAAAACATTGGATGCAATTTTTGGAAGTCCCCCCCCCTTTGGAAATCACTAAAATACCAAATTTTCACCATCTTTTTTTAAATACTATAACCCACCCCCAGGAAAAATAAAAATTAAAAATCTCGTCTCCCACTGGATGTCCAAACTCCTCAATAGGGAGAATGCAGTAGTGCACATATTGTCTGAATTATGATGGCCCAATTTTACTCATGAAGGGAAGAGTCTTGCGAGTTTTAGGGGCTGTTTATATGGAAGCGAGCCAGCCCGGGTACCCGAGCTGGCTCGCATCCCTGAGATGAATTTCACCACGAGTTTACAAGAAACTTACATGAAGGGCTGGCTCTTCTTGTTCTAATTTTTTTTGGAGTAAACATCTCCATATATGGAAGTTGGTTCCTTATATGGGAGTTGTTTGTGCATTCTGAATTATTCTAATTATTTGCACATGTGTATTTGCTAAATTTCCAGCCCTACTAGGAGGGCTAGCCCTCCCTATTGCGTTTATATGGCAAACTACCCAGCCCGTTTACCCGAGGTCTCGGGTCACACGAAGTGGGACCTCGGTTAGGCGGGCCAGCTTGGTTCTCATATAAACGTAACATGAAATTTAGTAGGAAATATTAACAAAGCGAGCCCGAGCTAGCTCGCCTCATATAAACAGCCCCTTAATAATGGTTTATAATTCACAGTTTGTTGTGTCTCCCAACAGCTGACATAATAATCTGACATAAAATTATTATTACCTTCTGCCACTTGTCCCACTTGTCTTGTCATTGTTGTTAATATTTTGCAAATCTACTCCAAAAGTTAAAGGTTCCGTTGATGGCGAACCGCCCCAAAGTTTTGTCAGATCATCGTAAAATTCTATAAAGACAACTTTTCCACTTCCACTTCTCCTGCCACTTGTGACAGCTTTCGAATAATCTTGTCTTATCGTTTTTATTTTTTCTTTAACACGCTTGCACCCAATTTTAATTTCACTCATCTCACGGTCATACTTATTTTTGTATTCACCGTATTCGTCTTTCGACATTTCCTTGACGGGGTTTTCTGGTACTGAAGCCATAACTGGTCCAAAGCTATTTTGATGCGAAACTGCAATGATTTTCCTAACTTCTTCATATAAATAATTTCACCTTACCAGCGCTGAAATCGATCGCATTGAACTCGGATGCACTCTTGTAGTCTTTTAGGGCATCTATTAAACTTAAAGTCTGGATCATTTCATCGGACCATTTCCACTTCTTATTCTCCGTTTTTTGGCGATTTTTATGGCGCTTTATACAGTTTTTCCTCGTGTTTGGTTAACGGCCGCTATGTTGCTTTTAATAAAATGTTTCTATTGAGCATGAATAGGTCTAAAAAGTTGCCCCTGGAGGCCGAGGCAAATCAACGCAAACTGTTTACATGGACAAAAGTTGTCCCTCCTACAAGGGTAACCTGTTTCGTAAACAGGGTGTCCCTACCGCCAGGGTGACCCTACCAGCCGAGATAAGTTGAAAACTTTCCATATAAACACTTAATGAGTTTAAATGTTATATAATGAATATAATTGTGCTTCTCCCAGTGTAGCTCGGGGGGGGTAGGGTGTCCCTAGTACCCGAGATCATATAAACAGCATCTTACAATCTTGGAAAAAATATGAGTAGACTTTTCGAAATATACACCCAAATTTGAAAACATATGATGAAAATGTGAGCATTTTTCAATTAAAGCAACTATTTACCTTAAATACCCCCCTCCCCCTCCAGTTCCCCTCCCCCCACAAACAATGTTGGTTCAGGTAAAGTGGATTTGCAACACATGTCACCTAAACACATTTGCAACACATGTCACGTTTGAAAACTTAAGAAGTCTACTAATTTTTTTCCAGGATTGTAGTTTATATATAATATTCATGATTTTCATGCAGCATGGAGATTAACGTGCGATCATTACTATAACTGATTATGATATCATGATTGCGGGTATTCCCGTTGTTCTCGCAGGGCAATTAAAAACTAATACATCTCATTATATTCATTTTTCTAATTCTACCCGCTTTTACGTCATGTCAGGTAGGATTAGTTCTAATCCTACCCGATACGACGTCAAAGCGGGTACGATTAGAAAAAATGAATATAAATGAAGATATCTGAAATCGCCAAAACTAAACAAAGACATGGAAAACAATTATAATTTAATTTATACATTATTTATTGTTAAGTTTTTAATGGCCCTGCGAGAACAAAGGGAATACCCGCAATCATGATATTATAAGGTAATAGCATAAAAAGAGGCGAATTAGCTATTGAAAACGTCCCGCCCGATGAGGGTCGTTTAGTAAAATTCCCTTGGGCTTGGGCGCCGCTTGATTCGGGTCATTTAGTAAAATTCCCTCGGCCCAATTCGGCCCTCGCGAATTTTACTAAATGACCCTCATCGAGCGGCGCCCAAGTGAATTTTACTAAACGGCCCTCATCGGGCGGGACGTTTTAATAGCTAATTCGCCTCTTTTTATGCTATTACTTATAAATATACTATAGAGATGAAGAGACAGTTATAATTTACTTGCGATAGATGAACCAGGCGGAAATCGTAATCTTAGGATAAATATTAATGCTCAGCATAAAACACGTAAAAGAGCCATAACAAAATTATAATTTAAAATATTTATTTGCAAGCTAACGTTTCGTCTTTAACTTAAGACATCTTCAGAGCAATGACATACAAAGCGGAAAACACAGAAATATGAATAAATTACAACTATTTACAAGATATTATATTACAAAAGTAGAAAGAGGAATGGATCAGAGTAGAAGTAGAGGGACCGAGCTGCCCTGTAAGTTGAGAGAGGGTTTGAGTTTGTTAATGAGAAGACTTTCTCGAATGAGAAGTTCGTCTGGAGAAGAGCAACAAGAAATAATCTTAAAATCATTAAGAGAGGCGGAGTGACCAGTGCTATCAATATGGGAAAGGATACTAGACATGGTCGAATTGCTGCTTTTACTGCCTGTTACAGGAGAAACACCCAAATGTTCAGAAACTCGTGTGTGCAAGTGACGGACCGTTTGGCCCAAATACGTTGCGGAACAGCAACGACACGTGAAGGAATACACAACACAAGATCTTAAAGCGTTAGGAATTTTGTCCTTAAAGGTGAAGAGTTGAGACAAACGGAAAGTTGGACGAAAAACGAATCTAATATTAAGATGGGGAAAGGCCGAGGAACAAAGACGGGAGATTTGGGTGCGAATTTGAAGAGAGTGAGCGCCAGTATATGGAAGAGAGAAATATAGAACTTTCTTAGGAGCAGAATGAACAGCTGGTTTGGGTTGAGACACATTTTCTAAAAATGTTCGTACGCAGCGGTCAAAAAGACGAGTTGGATAACAATTCTTATTAAGAATCTGGCGGTATAGTTCTAACTGAGCATGAAAGTTCTCATAATTGGAGCAAACACTAAAGAAACGATGAATAAGAGAAGAAACTAAGCTACGTTTATATTGAAAAGGAATAAAGCTACGGAAGTTGGTAAACAGACCTGTGAAGGTGGGCTTTCGATAGACAGAAGTTTCGAAAACACCATTCCTCCGAGTAATGCTGATATCAAGAAAGGGAAGGTTAGCTTTCAAATAAATATTTTAAATTATAATTTTGTTATATATGGCTCTTTTACGTGTTTTATGCTGGGCATTAATATTTATCCTAAGATTACAGTTATAATTATTAATGGTAAGAGCATGTGTGTTACTGAGCACATGCAGGAAAATTCGTATTGTTGGAAGGAAAAGAGATATTGTATAAGCCGGTATATTGTGCATGAAGTAAGTGTATAGATATAAGTTGGTACTTACGGATGAAATTGTTGCTTCAACAATGTTGTCAGGGACCATGTTTCTAAATAAATAAATAAATAAAATAAATCATATAAAGAGTCCCTAGACGTGTATAAAGGTTCATAAGAGACACCATTCAACTGAAACGCTTATAATGGTAATTTCCATCACAGATAACATTCATTGTGAAACGTATACAACGTATACCCCTAGCGTTTGTCAGCGTTTTCCAGCGTATGAGTGATATTTTTGATACACTGGCATGCGCTATAGTACGATGCACACTAGTGTGACAGGGCCTTTAGAAAGTTGGAGGCTACTGACGTATTCCCAACTGCCCTACAGTGGTTTAAAAGTTTCCTGACAAATCGTAAACAGTACGTATACGTGAAAATTGTCTCAAGCAAGTCTGCTCCTTAAAGGCTAGTTTCCACTCAGGAAAATTGTCCGTGGATTGGAACGGGACAAGAAATTTTTTTGTGTGTTAAAGTCATTAGTTCCAACCCAGAGCTCACAAGACAAAGAAAAACTTTCTTGTCCATTCCAATCCACGGATAATTTTCCTGACTGGAAACTAGCCTTAAACATTATACATATGGGGTCCCGATGCCCAACCCGCATGCCTTTAACAAATCACCCTTAATAATCAGGCGCAAGCGAAAAGGCCGAGGAATTAGCCTACGGTGTAGACCCCAGCAGAAACACGTTTCGTGAGGGGTCTACGAATAAACGAAGAAAAGCTTGCCAGGCTACGTCATATCCGTTTTACGTTTTGGGTAAATTAACTTCAATTTATTCAAATTTCTGAAGCGTGCGTGAATGTAAATTTTCATTTGGCGCTTATTAAAGGCATTAAAATGTTCCATGGCGGGCTTTGTCCAATACAAATGTGTTCTTTGCTTCAAAGTTCCGTCGAATAAAATTCTTGGACAGCAAGGACACTGTACGTAAGGAGTTAGACGACCTTTCCTTCTCCATTTCACCTACAAATAGCATTTGTAAAGCATGCCTGGCCGCCTGGCATTGGTAAACAAACGGTGAAACGGAGAAGCTTCAAAGAACGGTTTAATATGTGAGCTAGAGCCTAGACAATACGATAACCAACGTGCACGAAACAGCATTAAACGCTATTGATAAATGTCGTGAACCAACTAGGATTCGAGCCGACTTGCGATAAAGCTTTTATGCCGGCTACATTTAATAGTGTGAAATCGACTTTGTCTTCGACTTCGGAAATTAGATATCTTGACAAGTTTTAAGCCTTCAAGCCTAACAGTTTGTACGAATGACAAGAACTTTTTAGTCCGTTCGAATATGTGTTTAATGGTTGGGTATATATATAGTGAGGGTATATTTTATTGCACAAAGCCCGCCATGGAACATTTTAATAAGCGCCAAATGAAAATTTACATTCACGCACGCTTCAGAGATTTGAATAAATTGAAGTTAATTTACCCAAAACGCAAAACGGATATGACGTAGGCCGGGCAAGCTTTTCTTCGTTTATTCGTAGACCCCTCACGAAACGTGTTTCTGCTGGGGTCTACACCGTAGGCTACCGAGGAATAGGCTAATCCAGTGGTTAAGTTCTATCAAATGGATAAATCTCGTATTCAATGGATAGCTATATCTGCCGAATAAAAGTGCGTTGTACGAAGCACGGATAGCAGGGTGGACAGTAGCTATCCGTCCGATATAACCTTGTCCTTAATTTTAACCGGAGAAAACCGGATTTTCCTGAAATTTCTTATCTCTACGTCAGCTGTTGCTAGGTATTTGTAAACTTTTGTTGTAGTATCTTCGTATAACTTGTGAATTCCACTAACCTTTGAATTATCAACTTGCATTAAAGGTTTTTTGTTCATGTTTATATTTTGGAGTTTTTCTCGTCCAATCGCCAGTTGCAATACTTCGTTTCCCACAGTGAAGAGTTTGCTATCTACTTATCGATATTTCCAGTTTAAAAGATTTTTGGCTTCTTTATGGGAAGGCAATAGCAAAGACTGCGAGTTTTGTTTTCTTGTTTCAGTACGTTGATTCAGTTTTATTTTATATACAGTACTGTCCGAATATTTGTTCTTTGACCTTTCCCTTCATTCAAAACAGTTTTAAGAACATTTTCTCGCAAGATTTGATTGGCTGATCAAGGCCAGCGAACAAAATTTCGACTTTCGGCGCCTTGTTGTCTATTTATATGCAGCTATATTTGCACCCGGAACACCCGGAACCCACCCGGAACACCCGGAACCCACCCGGAACCCCTCCCGGAACACCCGGAACCCCTCCCGGAACACCCGGAACCCTATCCGGAACACCCGGAACCCGATC